GGGAGGGAGGGAGGGAGGGAGAAACGGAGGGACGAACGAAGGAGGGACAACAGGAAGGACGGAGGGACAAACGGAGGAATGGAGGGAAGGACGGATAGAAAGGGGGCCAGAGGGAGAGACGGAGAGACGGAGGGAAAGGAGTGGGTGCAGGGGGCCGGAGGGACGTACGGAGGGAGGGTTGAAGGGCCGGAGGGACGGTGAAAGGGAGGGACGGAAAAACGGAGGGAGGAAGAGAGGGCGGGACGGAGAGACGGATGATGGATGGATGGATAATGTACCGTGCCTTACCGAAGATGCTCGTTTTCCAACATGTATTCTTGCAGCATGTCGTACAGGCCAGAGTTTGCTCCAGCAGCGATACTACAAACAGCAACGAGCAAGGATTAGTATGATGAGACAAGAATCGACATACAACTACGATCATCAGTGACACTAGCTATAAAGCTTGAAAGAAACCTGAAACTAGTAGTTTACTAAGATAGAAAAACGCCAAAGAGATAATAATAAACTATAACGGAACAAGGATGGTTAAGGATGGAGAAGATTAACACGGATTACAAACGACAAACTTGAAGAATTTAGGCTAAACTTTTCAAGTTGCAGAAACCATACAGAGCTCCTTTCAAAGGGATCGCGGAAGATTTGACCCACAGTAACGCACTAGTAGCATTAACAGGCAGTTGCTTCCGTAGATTGCTAAGAACTTTTCAATGAGTAGCATTACAGTTTGTTCTATCTATCTACTCTTGTGACATGATATACATTCCAAAGTGTTCCCTACACACTTTCTGTTGCAACAAAAGAGCATCTCTTACTTGGCAGTTGTGAGTCTCTGCTGCGAATCTTCAGGGACTTGTAGCTTTTTAACTGAAAAGGAGAACAACACAAATAAGACCTCAACGAAGAAACAAAGTGACGTTATGAACTCTTCAGCAGCTGTAACCTTTGACATTCTCCACATCTGTTAGAAATAGAGTAAGCTGCGAAAGCTGTGCGTAAAGCTTATATTGACCCATGCTTAAGCCATCACGCAAGCAAGCAAGCAAGCAAGCAAGCAAGCAGGCAGGCAGGCAGGCAGGCAGGCAGGCAGGCAGGCAGGCAGGCAGGCAGGCAGGCANAACACAAATAAGACCTCAACGAAGAAACAAAGTGACGTTATGAACTCTTCAGCAGCTGTAACCTTTGACATTCTCCACATCTGTTAGAAATAGAGTAAGCTGCGAAAGCTGTGCGTAAAGCTTATATTGACCCATGCTTGAGCCATCACGCAAGCAAGAAAGCATTTTCTCTTCCCGATTCCGAACGGAGATTCATCTTTCACAAGTCGCGGTTGGGCCCTTGGGAAGGTGGTAACGGCTTTTTTCTAGATGACATGTATAACGGAAATTAAACAACAGTTGCTAAATGCTTCATCACGCGAGAGAATTCAATCCACTGTACACACCTGGTGGTGGCGAGGGAGGAACAAGTTTCGGTGTACTGCCATTCTCTGTCCCAGTTGTTGTTTTACTCTCATTACTTGTTAGAGAGGTTTGTGACTCGCTGCTTGGTAATCCCAGCTATATGAAAGAGAAATGGCAAGTAAACACCTTTCCATACCGTCGAATATTTTCATTTAGATTCTTTTACATTTCGTGGGTAGTTCTGTGCAAGTGAAGGTTTGAAAAAGAGAAAATATAATTACACTTTCCGATTCTTGCTAAGCCAATCAGAGTAAAGATATCGCTGTTTCGTCCGATCAGGAACAGAAAAGACAGTTCGGGATTTTGGTCAAGTGATTTTCCCCGCGCTTTTCTGTGCTTAGATGTTTTCCCGCGCTTACCAACGGACGTGCGTTATCGCTTAGAGTTCTGATTGGTTTAGGGTACTTAAACGAACGAACCAGAATATTACAACAGTCTTGACGTGTGCTTTAACCACGGAGAAGCAGACAACAACAAGTTTCACCTTCAGTGCAAAAGGTTTTCAAAGTATTACCTGTTGGCGGAAGTAAGAATTTTCAGTCCTTAACAACTTTATTTCCCGCTTAAGGCTTAGGATCAGTTTTTCTTTGGGGTCCTGAAACATACACATACAAAGAAAAACTTGATCAGTGTCAAATTCTTCTTCAAATGTTCAGTTTAAGTTGAGACTGCAAGAAAGGGAGCAAAGAAATTGTCTTGATAAAAGTGTAAATTCTCGAAACAAGTATCACAAGAAATTATGCAGACAATTAAGAGGAATTTGTACGTTGAAATAAACCTACCATCTGTACCACAGGTTTGTTTTTTATTCTCTTGGCTCTGTGAGCGTACCGTAAGGTGTTTAAGGTGTCCTGCACCACATAAGAAGATGGCGAAATACATGCGATCTGAAATTCAACAGAGAGGAAATATTAGCCCCTAACTAACCAAACGGGGGGAAAGTATAGTAATAAGAGGGTATGAAAGGTGTTTGATTGATAGCTGAGAATTCGTCCAAATTTTAACTGTCAGCTCAGAAATGACTGTTCCAGTCAATGATAGTTTTTGGACAGAAACTATACTTAAGAGTGTCTGGAGCGGGATGAATTTCAATGGATGAGATGATATAGTCTTTAGAGAAGACTGATGCTGCACATAACTTGGAAAACGCCGAAAATCTAACTAATAACTAAGACTCAAACACCCCAATCGAGACACGCGAATTAATATGAATTGACAGGGTACGATACAAAGAGCTTTTTAAAAACTCTTGGCTGATTCCCAAAAATTTTACTTGCACGAAACTACGTTTTTTAAGCAGTTGCTTAGGTCCTTTTCCCCCGTGGGAAATGGGCCCGGAAAAATGTTCAAAGTTAACTTAAACCATCTCAGATCTGGGGGCTCACCATGAGGGTGATACCATCACCACCCAGGCTGTCCGCCAGAAGCTTGGTCAGTTTGCTGTCACGGTAAGGTATGTGACTGTTCTTTTTCCTTGGGTCGCTCAAGGCAGAAATACAATTCCCTGTAACAAAACAGAACAAAACATTTGAAATCAGGGAAAATAATTTAAAAGGCTGTATGACGTTATCCTTTCCCGTCAAGACGGTGCATCTGTTCAGTAACAGATCACAAAAGACATCAAAATGTGGTAAGAACAACAGTGACACTTTTTTGTTCCCTCCCCATTTTGACGTCAGCTGTGACTAATTACTAAACAGACGCACGGAAACATGGAATCTATTGATTATACTAAATTCTCTTGGCCGATGATACAACACACTGATTTTCTACGCCTTCTTAATGACCCGCCCAAATACACAAGACCAGCAGCAGCAGCAACAACAACAACAACAACAACAGTGATAAGCTTAACAACTAGATTCCATGTTGTTTCAGGGCAGCTAAAGCACTGTCGCATTTTTCGTTTAATTCAAATTGTAGGAAATGCTCAAAATACTTGCTGTGGTGGCGTTACCGCAACTGTTGCGTGAGATAGTTTTCTTCTCTTGTTCTCAATGATCACGACACAGAACACGATCCAAGATATTCATTTCAGAGTATTTTACATAACATAATGTTCACTGTAAATTGTGGGCACTTCACGATTATCATAATAGGAAACAAAAAAAAGCTAGGAAACTGTCAGTAGCAAATCGTGTAATTAAATTTTATTTGATAGAGTTAACAAATTCACAACCAAAAAGATATTCAAACAATTTTAACAATTTGTAGGAAACCAGAGTACTTAGAGGAACAAAGAGATACAACATTGAGATATTGTGTATGCTAATTACGCCAAAACAGTCAATTTTACGTCGGCCATTTTCAGATCTTTCTCAAGGAACTTTCTCAAACTAGTTTAACTAAAGACGGAGATTCGATATGTACCAAAATTCAACCAATCGGCGAAAAAGCTCAACTTTGAAACTAAAGAGTCTTAACATTATGTAACAAAAACAAAATGACATAAGTCGTTCACGCCGAAGCACACTAAGGTATGCATTTATTTAATTAACCCTTGCTCAGCGTCAATAAATCTTAATAATAATGCCAATGCCTCAAACGATGTGGATGTAAGACAACTTAGCATGTACTTCAGCTTAAAGCGATTTACACAAGTCGAGTAAAGAAGTCAGACTTCAACACGTGGAGCTGGGAAATCGTTCAGTTTGACGAAGCGAAACACTGCCATAGAAACACACTCCACAAACTGCAACCGTGAAAATCCACACGTACACAAATGAATAAAAATTCATTACTCGTTTACACATCAGAAAAGATCTGTTTACCTTTAATTACTTTCCTACTCGAGACACGCCACGACAATAAAATGCAAAGCAAACTTACCCAACGTCAACAAACTCTTATTGATATTCTGCGACTCGGCGAACGTGCCTCCAACAGACTTGGTTTCTTTGACGCGCTCGCTCCCTGTAGAAAAAACGTTAAACACAAAACGTCTGTGACGAAAAGAACAGCTAAAACGACGTCTTTGGTTGTCAAGCAACAAAGAAATTGTAACTATAGTATTCTAAGAGATAACTGACCTCGTGCTAGAACACAGTCACGATGGTTCACTATGAATCCACGAACAAGAATTTCTCACGAATTTAGCTGCTTAAGTAGTTTCAAATATTTTTCAAAGTGGCATAAACTCTCCGAAAAGACAAATGTTCACATAGTTTATGAAGTGCGTGGTCGTTTACATTCGTGATGTCGATAGACGAAAGCAAAAGAGACATCTGCATGTTAGAAAAATGTGTGGCCTCGTTCGTTTCGGTCAGTTCGCGTCTAATTCCCATCCAATCAGTTTAAGGATAACTTAATACTTACAAATACACTCCTGCGCTTGATAATTTGGTGCTTTGAGGTAAAAATAGGCTAAAGATTAAAGAGCCAAAAACGATTTGTTCACTGTTTGGCGTACTCTTACAAAATTAAATGAATTTTACATATTTGACAAAGCGATCGTTCAACCGTACAATCTGACTCAATGAAATTTCATTAATGCAAACTCAAACAAAACGTTACTAGTGTCAACCGGAATGTTGTCTAAGTCATCTTGTTCAAGAATAATCATTTATGGATATCTTATTGAACTGCGATATTTATAACACAGGTTACTTTTGAACAACGCTGAATTGCGACGACTTTATTGACCAAGAGAACCAAACACGTCGCTGTCCTGTCTTGCTATGGGCATGATAAGAATTAAGGAAAGGTAAAGATACGAGGCATTTCTGTACAAGTTCAAAGTTCTCGCTCAAGTGGTTTTTCACAATGTGGCAGGTGTTGGTTTTGTTTGGTTTTTAACACTCTCTTAACCTATATAATTGCAGGTCGATACTATTTCTAAGAGATTACTCGACCTCTGAAAAAAAAAAAGCACAGCATAGGAGGAACAAACATAAAACATAATGCATAAATTTGCGCCCACTGACACGTCCAGTTTTTGGCGCAGCCATCTTGTGCGCGCGGCTTTCGCGCCTCGCTTGACAATCAGTGATATATATACCCAGCCTGTTTTTCTTCTTCAGTCTCCCAACTGTACAAACAATGAAATAAAGTTTGGAGGCTTTGTTTTTGTACGAGTTGACCTGAGCTCGATGTCAAGCTTTGGTTTTCATGTGTTTCAATCTTGTCTGCTCACTTCTATGTGAGTTGCTTGTGTTTCTTCCATCTTGTTCCATCATTTTAGAACATCAATCATTTACGTACTAAAAGCAATACGAAATGTTCGCTTCCATATATATATCAAACTGGACGAGCCCGAGGATAATGTTACCAGTGTAAGGCCATTTAAAATCGATAAAGTGATTCAAAACTTTCTCAATATGAAAACAAAGCGACAAGGTCTCGGTTCACTTACTTCTAAGACAAGATTCTCTAGCTTGCTGTGAAATACCATGTGAAAGAAACTGCAACTTGAATCGCGCAAAAGGGATCTCTTTACATTAATACTCGCTTTTCTGTGGGTTTTTTCTTTGAGTTTTCAAGGCGGAAAAACGTCATTTCGCGTCCGTGCATGACATGCTTCGGATACCGCATAGACGCGTCGGATGTAACGATCAAAAATTCTCCTCTCAAGTATGTCGGCGATACGTGGGAGGCGTGGTGGCCTCGTGGTTAGTGCGCTCGACTCCGGATCAAGCGGTCCGGGTTCGAGCCCTGGCCGGGGATATTGCGTTGTGTTCTTGGGCAAGACACTTTACTCTCACAGTGCATCTCTNACCCTGCGATGGACTAGCATCCCATCCAGGGGGGAGTAGAAATACTCCTGGTCGCTTCATGCTACAGAAATTGGGATAAACTCCGGCGTGATGGGCCACTTGGCTCGTATATAGACTTAATGTCGGCGATACATCAAAGATGCACTGTACAAATCTCACTAAAAAGGGGCTTTCTGCGATAGCTAACAAATAGGCAGAGGATCGGTCTTGTTCTGGTTGTATCAGCCGCGCGCACGAAAAAGCGGAAATTTTCACTCTCTCTTTTTGCAAGACAACAAGCCAAGAGGACACTTCCATGTGATGTGAGTGAACTTTCAAACAAGATTCACAGTCTCCTAGTCTGTTTTTATTTTCTTACCTGCTAAATCCACCAAGCTCAACTTGCCGTGTTTAACAACGGGGTAACCAGATTCGTCTTCCGGGTCGTTCTGAGAGAAAGACGGAAAATGCACTCGTTACTTACATCAGCAAACAACACTGAAAACAAATCCCCTACGCATTCAGTAGAATCACAGATAATCCCCAACGAAAATTAATCATTTGTAAGCAATGTTGACAATTTTTTTTAGCTTTTTAGCTCGTAGAATCTCCGCTTATTTTCGCAAAAGGGCAGGCCACATCCAAACCTACGTTTTAAAGAAATTTTGAAGTCTTGACACTTTTAGAATTAATAATCTTTTCTTGCGATTCGTCAACGCATTATGTTTAGAATTGGTTTCAAATTTCAAGTTTCCAAATGAAACGTTCATTGCATTTGTAAAACATTCACTTACTGTTACAACTTACACAAAAGCCTTGTTATAGAACTCAAGTTTCACAAACTGGCTGAAAATTATTCGATCTCAAAATTGCTCGTTCACGTCTCTTCTGTCGTACGCCCAAATAAAAACGATCTTTTATATTTGCTCAAGTTTGTTCTTCATTATGCGTTGTTGTATTAGGTTAGACATTTTATACAAAATATCTCCATTTGCCACATGTAATTTACTTAGTCGTCTAGAAAGAAAACACATTCAATAAACTTTCAATCAGATATTCAATCTATATCCGACTAAAAGAGCGCTTAAACTCTTGAAAAAGTACGACAATTAGAAGTAATCTAAAACGGGTCCGTTTTCAGCTTTTTTAAAAGCTTTTAAAAATGTAATTTTTTAAAAAATAAAAACATATGATAGCCAAACTCAGAAAATTGTGTAGGAAGAAACAAACAAATAGTATTTTAACGTGATGTAGTTAATTGTTTCATTTACAAAAAGAAAATGATTGTTAATTTCGAAGATATGACACAAATTCAACAACTTAACTACAGCATTTGTTTTCGGAGAAAGGTATATCTCTTAACAGCTAATTAGTTTTCACAAAGATGAAGACATTTTTTTAGTATCCGTTAAAAGCAATGGTGAAGGTCAGTATAACTCTCCCCAAAGTGGATCCTCTTTTGGAACCTCCAGGAAAATGAAAACGAGAAGGGATTAAATAAACAGTCTGGAGAAGATCAAACCAATTAAGAAGTTAGATCAAGATCTACTACAGTGTACCTTGCCCAAGATCAAGAGGAGAGAAAACTAAATGAAGCATGCTCCACGGGGTTTCAAAAGGGCATACAGCAATTTGAGCTGACTTTTTTGTTTAAATATTATTTTTGCAAATTCAACAGATAATAATTTAGTTTGGAAAACCCAGTTCGAAACATGCTGCGCTATTAGAATATTGCAACATTTCAAGACGTTTGTGTGGTTAAGTGTCAAGTTTTGCCACCTAGCATCTTCAAAGAGCATGTAAGTTCCGTTCGTTTTTGCCACAGTAACTGAATGGCACAATTATTATCCATTTTATTATATCTATACGTTTGCTACTCCCAGCGTCCCAGGTAGATGCTCTGTGGACTTGCCACGCAATCTTTTTTACCCTGAACGTTTTTCAGACTAAACATTTTTGAGATTCAGCGAACGATCAATTAAGAATAGATGGTCCAGCAGAGGGAGTAGTACTTACTGATTCAATATCAATGTAAACTGTAAGCATACTGTGACTTCTGCTGGAATGATCATTCATTAAATGTGAACCCACTTGTCGATTACTCAATCCTGAAAAAGAATAAAAAATGTTTACAAACATGTTGACTTTAAGGGGGTAGGATACCCTCAAATGGACCAAAAAGTTTGTTTAAATATGGTGAAGAAAGATCAATTGTGTGCTATTGGGCTCAAGAAGAAAGATTAAATTTCTAGAGTTTTACTCAAAATGGTTGCTATGGAAACCAGCCACAGCCTTTTGAGGTAGTGTTTTATAGTATTGACGCCAACACTTCCTGCT